ATTAATATGAAAAACGTTCAAAAAGCACACGCGTATAACTATATATACAGATGAAATATGAAATAAAGTACGAAATCAAACAAATATTTAAAATAAAATGTTATTTAATCCAACTAGTTCATTTTCATCAGCACAACTAGTCAGCGAAGCATTAAACAAGATAAAATCTGCAAAGGCAATTGAATAATTAAGATCACAAAATACAAGTGAATTATGATATATATATTAGTTTCTATAATTAATTTTAGGAAAAATTATATTTTGGTGACCAAAATTAAATATAATTGTTATATAGTAACCTTAAAGTCAATAAAAGGTGAATAGTGACCAATTTTGAAACTTAATTGATATTAAGTGACCATTTGATGGTTTATTACCTAAATAGCCTTCTTATAATATATTATTATATAAGTAGACAAATTTACCCTCTACATTAACCTAAATAAACACTTACTTAAATTGACTAACAAAAAGACGACAGATTAGTAGGGTGAGTCTCTGAAGAGAAGATCAAGATGGGAGAGAACTAATGATGGATATTATACATCATTTTCTTCAAGATTCTAAGAGACATGACGAGAAAATTGTAAATTTTCTTTTTATTCATTATTTTCAAGGTATAGTTATTATACTTTACGAGTTGATTTGTCTGAGATATCTTCCTTAAGATATAAGATTGTAATTTTTAGAAATTTTTAATACTACTTAGTTATAGTTCAAGAAATAATGACTATTGTTGATTAATTTCATAATTTTACTAACTGTTAAAGGGTGTTTCAAAAGTATGATTTACCACTGTAAATGTTATGAGCGTTCATGCTGGAGAGCCTTGAAAAATAAATAAAGGATGGAAAAGAGATAATGTTGATAAAGAAATTTTAATTTTTTAAATTGGTAAATTGTAAACTAAAAAAGAAAATATTAGATGGTTGAGAGCCTTGAAAAATAGATAAAGAATGAATAATTTTTTAAATTGGTAAATTATAAACTAAAAAGGAAAAAAAGAAAACGTTGAATCAGAGAGAGAGAGAGTAGGAGGAGGATGAATTTAATGACTTATTATTTATATTGGATGGCAATTTTGTCATCTAATATTTATTTTTAAAATGTTTATTAAACTTTTAAGTATTTTTGACCAAATTATCCTTAAATGGTCACTTAATATCAATTAAGTTTCAAGATTGGTCACTATTCACCTTTTCTTGACTTTAAGGTCACTATATAGCAATTATGTTTAATTTTGGTCACTAAAATATAATTTTCCCTTAATTTTACCATTATTACCTACTGTAACAATATAAATAATTATCAAAATAAAAATAAAAACTTTTGAAAAAAAATTAATTCCTGTATATTTTACTAAAAAATTATTTTTATTTAAATATTTCTTTGAAAGAAAAACAATACCCAGGCTTGATAGTGTCTAGGGGGGTGCCTGGTTAAACTTGAAACTTGATGTTTTCATGGTTCAGCATGATATGGAGAATATGTATATATGGGGTTTCAAGGAGAGGCCTGAAAATGCATTAGGAAAGATGCAGCTGAGATGTTAAGTGGTGTGCACGATTCAGGGATTTAGAGGTGTTTCATATTGTTTCAGAATCAAAGCTCTCATGGAAAGTAGTATTATTGTTATAGTTATTTGTGCATGTATATGTGAATAACAATATTATATAACTGAATAATGGAATCATATGATATTGACTTTATTCAAAATTGTTAAAGGTTAAACTAAAGGGTAATTACACTGACCTCCCTTGTAGTTTCGTCAAGCTACATTGACCTCCCCTTTTGTTTGCCAAATAACAATGACATCCCTCGAGATTTATATACGTATAACAAAGACCTCCCCGCCATTAACGGAAAATAATATTACTAACTAAAAATGATAATGCCATCAATTTTTTATTTTCAAATTCCCATTCTACCCATCCAAGATATGTAAATAAATTAACTACAATATCTAAAATACCTGATAATTATTTCTCCCCTTTCGCTTCAATTTCTCTCTCCAATCTCTTTCCTCAATCAAAAAACCAAAACGTACCCTTCTCCACATACCCTTCTCCATATTTTATACTCTTTAACTGCCAACAATAATAATTCACACGAACGGCGATGAGCAATGTGAGATCGGCTGAAACCACTGGCGACAACCAAGGAGTGCTTGGTGGACGACGAAGATGGCAAGCTCGTGAGGATGCATGGCAAGACCGTGAAGAAGGCAATGATCAGTGGCGGCAAACATAGAAGTAACTAGCAGTAGGGATGTGCCCAAGGATAAACAGATGATGAAGAGATTTTCAGGCGGTGCAAGGACAGCGGCTGCTTGCCGACATGATTTCAAAAGCGGCAGTGACGGCTGTGAGAACTAAGTTTGATTGGCGGCGAAGAGTGCTGAAATGGCTGCAGGACAGAACCGGCAGAATGAACCAGTGAGCAAAGAGATGACCGGAAGTGAAGCGGTCGGTGGTTATGAAGATGAAAATGGTGCCGTCAGCCGTTCATCCTTGCCCATCGTCGTTGTCCGTCGCCGTAACTTATCGTGCTTGCCGTCATCCTTCTGGCTTACATCCTTTCACCTGATTCATTAGACGCTGGTTAGTTCCATCATCGCCGGTGGGTTCTTCATTGCTCCGGCGATGAGGACTGTGAGGATGAGAGTGCCCACCTATGTTACTGGGGCTTTTCGTTGATATTTGACGTTCGGTACATGGAACCCAGCCAGTTTCAAGCTCTCCCTCTCTGTATTTTCTATATCTTTCTGTACATGCTTAATTTCGGCCAACCAAGCTCACACACGGCAAGCTCCAAGCATCGACAACACCAAGTTCATATCAGCGAGCTCCAAACAAAACGAACCAACTGTTAGCTCCATTGATTCTGACGACAATTGCTTGTCTTGTTTGTTACAGGAAGTGGCTTGTATTGAGGCTGAAGGATAGGTTTTGGGCCTTTTTGTCTTTTCAAATTTTATTGAGTTTGTAATAAAATACAATACATATATAATAAGGACAGAAATGTAATTCCAATATAAAGTTATAGCCATCCATCCAAATGTCCTGACAGAGGAGATGAGTGTAATTACCCCCCTTAAACTAAATAAAACGAAAAGAAAAATTTTAATCTCAGCTAAAACTTAACAAAATTTAAAAATATTTAATCCTCAAAACCTTAAAGTAAACTCTTCCACGACAAATAAAAATAAAGTTACAGAATTAATTTTTTTATAATGGTAAAATTAATTATAAAAACTAAAAATAGGGTGAGAGTGGTTTTGTGTTAAAAAGAAAGGCCATAGGTGGATTTGTAAAATGACCGTTCCACCTATGGCTTTTCCTTACCCTAGTTTCTATAATTAATTTTACCATTATCACCTACTGTAACAATAAAGGTAATTATCAAAATAAAAATAGAAACCTTTGAAAAAAAGTTAATTCCCGTATATCCGTATCTTGCTAATAGGCTTGATAGTGTCTAGGGGGGTGCCTGGTTAGACTTGAAGTTTGATGTTTTCATGGTTGAGCATGATAGGAGAATATGTATATATGGGTTTTCAAGGAGAGGCCTAAAAATGCACTGGGAAAGATGCAGCTAAGATGTTAAGTGATGTGCACGATTCAGGGATTTAGAGGTGTTTCATGTTATTTCAGAACCAAAGCTCTCATAGAAAGCAGTATTATTATTATAGTTATTTGTGCGTGTATGTGTGAATAACAATATTATACAACTGAATAATGGAATCATATGACATTAACTTTATTCAAAATTGTTAAAGGTTAAACTAAATAAAAGGAAAACAAAAATTTTAATCTCTTCATGAAGGGCTGAAACTTAACAAAATTTAAAAATATTTAATCCTCAAAGCCTTCCACGACAAATAAAAGTAAAGGTACGGGAATTAATTTTTTTTCAAAGGTTTCTATTTTTATTTTGATAATTACCTTTTATTGTTATAGTAGGTGGTAATCGTAAAATTAATTATAGAAACAAAAAATAGGGTGAAAGTGGTTTTGTGTTAAAAGGAAAGGCCATAGGTGTTAAAGAACTTGCTGGCCAGTAAAAAACAAAGAAAAAAAAAATCATTTACTCCAATTATACATTTCCATCAAGAAAGCAGTTCTGAAAAACACAATAATAATAACAATTACCATGGATATAAAAAAACCATTTGGAGAATAATTTTGTAAGTAGAATAAAATATGAATTTATATATATAAAAAAAAAATCATATACAATAAAACAAGTATAATTTTGTGAACAGAGAGGAGGAAAAAAATGAAAATAATAATAATAATAAATTATGTGAACCGGCCAATGGATTATATGTGGGTTGATCAACTCATTTGATACCCCTTACTCGATGGGTGGATGTTGGGTTACTAACCCATTCACAACTAGCCCAATGCAAACCCATCCAATTACAAATTCACCCAATTGCTACCCCCGACCGTTTATGATTGCAACTGATTAGGCCACTTTTTATTTATTTATTTTTACATTTCACCCCGAAATGTTTACATTTCACTCGAATCATGGATAATTTATTAGATAATTTTGCATCATGGATCAATCAAATCACTCCCACTGATGCTTTGATGGTTATTGTTTTGCGCCATCACATAAGTGAGTAGTTTACATTAGTAGGGGACGGATAAAGTATTTGTCGTCCATTTCCGAATGGGATCACGTTCGAAACTAGAGGGAGGGTAAGCGCGTCCCCAATTTCAAGTTTTCTGCAAATAAGTATAGAGGAGTTAGTTCTACATAGCAATAAACCTAATTTCCAAAAAAGTATCACCGCTACCAAACAATTCACAAAGACATTAATTCATCGTGCAAGTATCTTCCTACTTGCTTGCAGCAAACCAGGTGCTGCTACAAAAAATTTCTGAATAAATTCTATGTTTCTTCTTGTACCTGATAGCGAACACAACATTTAAAAAATTATCATATTGAATCAATATAAAAAAGAAAATAGTTTGAACAAACTACTACTATGACTAAAAATAAAATCATATACAAAATAAGTAGATTCGAGTAATTCACTGAAACTTTTAAACCATACACCGTCTTTGGAACAAATAAAGGGGACGAACTTCCTGTTAATACAAAGTACAAGACAAGATCAAAATTAAAAGTCTGACCCAGCAGATAAGGAAATCATTCACGGACAATGGACAAGCAGATTCATCACTATATGAATTAACGGTCCCAACCAGAGGGCCTCCTTCTTTCTCTAGGCCTATCTCTAGAGCTGCAAAAACAAAGGATAAAAAATAGCATTAGTATCGAATACAGAACCTCATACATACCATTCAACAAAACACTCCAAGTTGAGGTCAGAAAAGCCACCTTTCTGGGTTTTGCTGACTTGCATTTTCTTTACAACTCTGACTAGTGGTATTTCCTCTTGATGGAGCAGGACCTGATGAATTGGTTGTCTGACCAGTATTTATATCCCCACCTATTGTACCTCCAGAAACAAATCCAGATAACATCGTCTTCTTGTTGGCATTCGATCCCAAACTATGATTTACTCCCTGATTTTGAGTATTAGATGCAGCAGCTACAAAGTTGCTTTTGAATTGTGCCATAACTCCTGTCCTCAGTGAATTGACAGCAGCAGAACGACTTGGAACAGTGTTGGATGAAATATTGTTCGATTCTGGATTATATCCAATGCCCAGACCAAAATCCACACCACGAACACCTCGACCACCGGCCCCCCTTCCTTTAGCCCTTTTTCCACCTGAACAAACCATTTTAATATCTTGTAAAAGTTTTCAGCTCTCAGGTAAAAAAGGAAAAAGAAAGCTCAATTTCCTATCTAACAAAATCAACTTAAAGCATGATATTTTTAACATTTGCCATATTTTATTCTTTACAAAAGCTAAATCCAAAATGAAAAGATAAATTTTGCTTCCACCCCTCCCCATTTTCCTTTTTCTGTTTCTAAGAATGAAGTTCCTTGCTAACAATGTTAAGAGAACAAATACACAACATGATATAAATTCTAGGGCATACAAGAACCCAATTAATTATAGAGCAATCTATGGGCATGTTATAGCAAGATAGAAAATCCATACCTCCTTTTCTTGCATCACGTTTGGATCTGAATCTCCCGTCCTAATGATTTACAAGGTAAAAGTCATTCAATAACTCTAATACATATACATCAAAGGAAGTCTGCATGTCCCAAGCATAACATATACCCATATCAAGCAGTAACACGTGTACAAGTATGAAACCACAACTAAAACAAAAAATAACATGAGGAAGTATGCGCTAACACCATCGGTTTATGGGGCTAACATTTCACTATAGACAATAGCCTATGGGCTACAAATCTGTGTTTAAGTAAACCTTCTATTGTGCCAAAAATATATGAAATAATACGGTACAACATGGCGGGCAACAAGAAACGACATTTTGAGGGTGGAAAAAAGGGTGCCGAATTGAAGATGTTAAGATAGATAAATGAGCAGAAACACAAGAAAATGTAGAATAAGAAAAGGACGCATTAAAGTCAGAGATGAACTCCTAAGAAGCATGGACACAAACACAATACGACACGGATACGCCGACAAGTCAAATTCTAAAGAACAAGGACATGGCATGGACACAACTAATATAAATATAAACTTCCACTTATATATCTATTGAGTAAGACAATTATAGAACTTTAATTACTTTATAATTTCTATACTAAAGTTACACAAGTTAGAAGATAAAACTATTTGAATATCAAAAAGTATATATTAAATTATAGATGATATTACTATTCTATCATGTCATTGTAGTTATGTTTTTGTTCATATTACATATTATGACGTGTTTAATATCAATTTTTTAAAGAAAAAAGGGTTGGACACTTTGATATATGTTCAAAATGTTGTTTCTACGACTGTCATATTTTTATTTTATATAAGACCGAGTGTGGGATATGTTGTCGAGTGTCCGGAATGATAAAAATTATTTTTAAATTATGGACACGGTCAAGAAGTGTCGGAGACGTGTCCAAAAGTGTCCATGAAGTGTCAGTGTTCGACACGGACACGACACCTCATTTAAGAACAAAGTGCAGTCGAATTTCACACGAGTACTAATTTGGTTTGAGCTGAAAGCACTAAAAAAACAATACACATATACATAGAATCCACATCTGAGTTTACACTTTTATGAATTTGTGGAAGATGCCAAGTCAGAACTGAAAATAATAATAATAGTAACTATAAACTTCAAAAATACTAGTATTTGATTTGGAAACTTAGATTATTATTTCAAACAATCGTTAAAGAAGCAGATAATGGTTGCTGTAGTAATGTAAATTTGATCATTAATGCTGGAAGCAATGCCATAGATGTTTTATGGTCTAATGTCCAGGAGTGTTTTTTCTTTTCTTTCGAACTCCAGGAGTTGAATACAGCACAAAAATATAGGGTAAATTACACTGACACCCCTTCAACTAAGGTCAAATCTCACATAGATGGACATTTTGGTTTTAACTTTCACTTACACCCCAAATTACTTTTTGGACTTTGACGACCTATTTACCCTCATTTTTTTTGTACAATTTAATACAAAATATTCAAAAAGAAAAAAAAAAAAAGAAAAGGCAAAAATACCCTTAGATTGTGACAATCTAAATATTTAAGTCTGTAATTGTTTATCAAATATCAGATTAGCTGGTTAATACAACTGAAGAGGATTTGTTGTTCCTTGACTCATGTGAGAGTCAATCCTCTGACTTGCCTACATTTGGTAACACCTTGATTAATTATCTCATGTCCAACAAAGTAATTAATGAACTTTATCCAAATCTGTTAATTTTTTATCTAAATATAATGAGTATAATATTTTATTTTTGGAAAATAAATTTCTTATACAATTTTGTTTTTGGTAGAGGGTCCTCATACATCACATTGGATTTTTGAAATATCTAAATGGATTATCTTAATTCTGATCTATTTAGAGGGCCATATTTCTATTTACATCTCAATATTTTTGTTAAATTTTGACTCTTATCTTCTTGTTCTATGATCTGGGTCTCCAATAGTTCTCTCTCACTTTTTTCTTTTTCTTTTTCTTTTTCTTTTTTTTTTTTTTTTTTTTTTTTTCTGTTTTCTAGATATTAAAAAATTCTTGCTTTATAAATAATCTTCTGGCCTCTGTTTGGTTAGTGAGAAAGTTGAGGAAAGGAAAGTAAAATTATATAATATATATATTTATACACTTAGTGAGAGAAGAAGAGAGAGGGTTAAATTCTAGGATATTTTGGCCAATTAAATTGATCTCTTTGAGCAGTTAAGTCATTTTATACACGAAACAAAGTCAACACAAAGTCAAAAGGGTAGTATAGTCACTTTGCATGTAAAAAGTACTTTGACACCTCTAAAAAGTTACATTTGGGGTGTGAGTGAAATACGGATCAACAAAGCAAAATACGAGCGCAAGTTAAAACCAAAATGTCTATCTATGTGAGATTTGACCTAACCTGAGGGGGTGCCAGCGTAATTTACCCAAAAAATATAAGGTCAAGACTACAGCTTTCAGCAATCATCTAAAAATTTCACCAACGAAGAAATGTAGATGCACATTTATATATGACGGACTATGTGTTAACTAAAAAAATTAAAGAATGCAAAACAGGTCATGAAAATAACCTTCATAGCAAGATCCATCAGTTCATTGGACACATTTTGACCAGCAGCAATCAGGCTGTTAACCAATTCTCCTGCAAATCGAGACTCTTTCTGTGTAACAAGAGTGTATGCAGTCCCTTCCTTATCACCAGCACGACCTGTTCTCCCAATTCTATGGACATGCATATCCATGTCTCTTGCTATATCAAAGTTGACCACTGACTTAATTGACTTGATGTCAAGACCACGTGCAGCGACATCAGTTGCAATAAGAACATGGTACGTCCCAGATTTAAATTTTTGTAATGTGTCCATCCGAGAAGCCTGATCTTTATCACCATGAAGTGCTGCAACTTTAAACCCTCTCTGAGCCAATTCTGATTCAAGCTCGTCCACTCTGGCTTTCTTTGAAGCAAACACTAGAACATCTCCATTATCAATTAGTCCAGGTAGCTTTTCAAGAAGCCAGGGCATCTTCTCAACATCAGAAGGAATTATTTGAACAACTTGAGTAATATCCTCATTGGCCATTCCCACCGCCCCCACAGTAACTCTTATAGGATCAGTGAGAATTTCCCAAGCTAACTTTTCAACTTTGCGGGGCATTGTCGCTGAAAAGAGTAAGGTTTGGCGATCTGGCCGAATTTGACCAACAATGGACCTTATTTGAGGCTCAAATCCAAGGTCAAACATCCGATCAGCCTCATCAAACACTAGGTAAGTTGCCCTTAACATTGTCAATGCCTTCATTTTTAGCATGTCTATCAATCTACCGGGAGTACCAACAACTATCTCACATCCTGCCTTGAGTTCTTTGAATTGATCAAGCTTGGACATCCCACCATAGACTGCAGAAACACGTATTCCGTGCGATTTGGCAAATTTCTTGGCCTCTAAATATATCTGATGCGCTAATTCTCTGGTAGGAGCACAAATTACTCCAATAGGACCTTCTTCTTTTTCAAGTTCAGGCTGATCCATTATATGGACAATCATAGGAAGCACAAAAGCAGCAGTTTTTCCCGAACCAGTTTTCGCTATACCAATTATATCTCTCCCAGAAAGCACAATTGGTAAAGCTTGGCACTGTATTGGCGTAGGTTTTTCATAAGCTTGTTTCGCGATAGCTTTCATTAGTTCCGAAGAAAATCCACAGTCGTCAAATGCTTTGATTGGTCTTGGAACATCGAAACCTGATGCACGAATCGCCAAGCTCTTTTGGTATTCTCCAATTTCCTGCTCACTCATACCTGCAAAAGGGAAAAGAATGAAGTGGGTTAAATGCAGAAAATCTCAAAAGGACACATCCAAAATTTATATTTATATATATATATATTCCTTTCTTTTCTCACTACCAGTCTCAAAACCTTGACCTAGGACTTAAAAGCCACTAGGACAAAAGCAAACCAGTAAGGGCATCCAAAGATTGGATATAAGGAACAATGAATACAGTGGCTTTTAAAACAATGGCGAAAAGGAGCGATAAACAATAGTTACAACTAGCATAATACAATGGTTATTTGACTCTGTTTGATAGGCAGGATATAAAATATGCCTTCTCATAAATTTTCTGTATTATCAACCCAAATCAAATCAGAGGCTCGGTCCTAGTACAGTGTCACAAGAAGTACCAACCCATATTTAGTGCCTGCCTCACAACAAAATTAATAGGCGTCATGAAATGGCAAAGACATGTTCTGCAACAAGAACATCCTTGTAAAGCCATCTCATCTCTATACCAAACCTCCAATATATTCCTCCAATAAGGATTTAGTTAAATGGCAAGCCCTAAACGTTAGACAAGGAGCACACAAGCGGACAAAGTGGCATGGGATTCATATCAGTGTACTTTGAATCTTCTTAAAATCTTTCATGAAATAGTGTTCTATTTTAGCCGATCCAAGACCAAGTTCTATGGTGATTGGGGTACCTATGGACTGTAGAAAAGAAGTCTATTTTGTGGAAAAGAAGCAGAAGTATTTAAAAAATTGACTAATATAACCCGAAACAATTACTAATAGTAGAAGATGAATGTGACTGTTCCAAGATAAGTGGCTGATACATCAAGTCCTCCTAAATGTAGTGGATTGAAACAATGTAAGTGGGGTGGTGGTGCTATTATCAGGGATTATAGAGGTTATCCAAGAGAGTTTCTTCATTTTTCTCCCAACTAGGTTACTAGTGCTGTGATTGGAGAAGCTATGGTGTTAAGGGAAGCGATTAAGCTATTGCTGAGTATGATACCGTGATGTGTATGGAAGGTGATTGCCAGTAATTTATGGCTTTGTTTTCCACTGATGCTCTTGCTGCTGTTATTTGTGAGGATGTCACTTTTTATCCTTATGGGTGCTACTGCTGTCAGCTTGTTATGTTGCCCTATAAAATGCAATATGGTAGCTGATTGTATTAGCTGATGGGCTCTTAATAAAAGGGTTGGGGACTGTGAGTGGAACATTTGGCCTTTGTGGTTAAGTGAATTGTGTTGAGACTGTTATACTTCTGTTTCTACCATTGAATAAAAATGTGTTGTGTTTGGGGAAAAAATAAAATAAAAAATAATAATAATAATAATAATAATAATAAAAACTAATAGTAGAAAATGATTGGTTAGGTTTACCTGATATAGAAGGCTTTTCTTCATAAAAATCCTTATTGAAGGGCTCGTAGTCGATGGAACTATGATCCAAAGCAGGAATGGGCTCAATCTTCTTCTTGTCAACAACAATTGGATTATCATCGGAATCATACTCCATCATTCCCTCATCAATCGCCTTGGCAGCAGCATAAACCTCCTCGTCGGAATCATAGCCGGCACGAAGAGCATCGGACGCCAACGTCAAGCCCACATCCTTCTTAGCCCTCAAGAAACTCTCAACCGGATCATCCTCTTCATCGTCCCTATACTTCTCCGCCTTCTCTTTCGCCTTTGGAGGTGGCGCTGCCTTCATCTCCTCGTGAATTCCCTCCATAAATGCATCGAGAGGATCAATCTCGTCAACATCTCCGTCGACGGCGGCGACGTTGGTAGCGTCTGGGTCATCGTATTCAATGTTGTCTAGGTCGGTGTCTTCGTAATTGTCGTGAGCAGCACCAGAACCAGAGCCAGAAGCAGAACGTGAGGAAGGTGGAACATATAGTCTTTGGGGCGCTTGTGATCGCTCGAAGTTGTAGGTTGATTGGCGATTGATGCCGAAGCCTTCGAATCCAAACTTTCTCTTCGACATGTGTGATTGATTTGCTGAACGAAACGAAGCAAAACCCTAAACCAACATCCGGAGCCGATCTCTACTCTATAAGCCCTAATTCCGCACTCCAAAGTCCTAGGTTCTGGGTACAGAAAAAGCTTCTTCTTGTGTTGATGCGAGATACAACAGTGTGCCTGTGTATAAATCAGTTGCCAAGGAGCTTATTGTACGCATAATTAACTCTCATACGCCTCAACATATTGAAGATACCATTCCCACTTCTACTCGCCTCGCCGACTCGGCCTCCAAAAAAGGGGAGAGATTTTTTTAGGTTTCTGATTTTCTATTGGAAAAAAATACAAATTATATACATAATCAAATTTCTTAGGGCTCGTAATGCCGTTTCCTGAAAGCAAAATTATGATGATTTCTTGCGTCCTATTTGGTAATTTGATTTCACCCGTAACAAATATTTTTTTTTTCCGAGTTTGTTCAATAGAAATGGAAGTATTTTAATAGCGCAAAATTTTGTTATAAAATTTTAAAAATAAAAGTATGTTTGGTAAAAAAAACATGTTGTAATGTGAAAAAAAAAAAAAAAAAAAAAAAAAAAAAATTGCTTTCATTATGATAGTGTTTTAGTTATGGTGCTAACTTAACACCAATTTGTTACTACTGGTTATGTTTTGTCACACCCAAGGTCGGAGTCAGTGTATGTCTATGGAGCACTTGTCCCTACCGCTCCCACTATACATATGATAATTTTTTATATTTTATATGTATATATATAAAAATAAAATTATATAATGTCTCCCTAAAATTATTAGTTTTTAGAATTATCTCTTATTTTTTTAGTTTTTTTTTTCCTAATTTACTCCTCAACTAAGGATAAATTTGTAATTATATAGGGTAGTGTGGTAAATACACAATGACATTGGGTGGAAAATGGTCGGAGGTAAAATACAAGGGGGCGAGTTGCTCATTTTTGAAACTACCGGGACTAACTTGCTTATTTTTATACGCACAAAAGGAAAATCACTTGCTATTCGTTGGTTATTAGCGGCATCCCGAAAACATCCGGATCGAAATATGGCTTTTAAATTAAGTTCTGAATTAGTGGATGCTGCCAAAGGGAGTGGCGATGCCATACGCAAAAAAGAAGAGACTCATAGAATGGCAGAGGCAAATAGAGCTTTTGCACATTTTCATTAATCCATGAACATGATCTATATAGACACATAGATCCATGGATCCATACATTTGGGATATTGTGCTCACTTAGTAAAACTTCAAAAGGTTTTTTTGCGCTCTTGCCAATAATTACTAAACATGTGAAATAACAAAATTTGCCACAAATTTCCCTTTTTTTCTCCTTTCCCCCACCTGCCAGTATACTACTACCACCACCTCTTTTCCACCATTGCCACAATCTCTTCCTCCTTCCATTTCTTATCTTTTATATACATACACACACAAACACGCACACACATATATACACAAACACGCGCACACCATAACCACACCACCATCGTCCACAACCACCCCCAAATGAACCCACAGTGATAAACAAGGATGACGGAACTGTCGATAATGGACCGGCGAACACGAAACGTATCGGCGGGCATAGAACGCACCGGCGATGTTCAAGGACGACACTGACAGGACTTACCAGCAAGTAGGGCTACAAATGAACTTAGCCGAGCCGAGCTTGGGCTTACTTGGGCTCAGCTCGTCGACTTCGGAGAGGTGCTTGGGCTCGGCTCGGCTCGGCTCAGGACCAAACGAGCTTAGCTAGACTAAGCTCGGGCTCGGCTCGGTAGAGATTCGAGGAGCTCATGCTCGGTTTGTGTAATGACTCGGTCATTTTCCTTCATTTCTTTTTTCTTCAAATTTTATAGATAAATTTATTATTATTATTTTTTTTATTTTTTTCCTGAGTTCGATTTCTCGTCATTTAGTGTCATCTCGAGTGCTCGGGAATGGTTTCCAAGACTCTTTCCTTTAGATTGACAACTTTCTTGTTAGGACCGCGTCATTTCCACGTTTTTGTTTTTCGGCACTATTCACCTTTTTGTCTTTTCCCCGTTCGTCATTTTTTTGGCGTAACCTCACTTTTAGTATTCGGAGTTGATTTTTGACTTCATGAATTTTCATTCCAGTTGTTTTCCTCAAAACACATAGCTTTACTTTTGAAGAAAAACTCGCCGGTTGTTTCCTTTTTCCCGCAGGGGCGTGGATGAATAGATTTTTCAAAAACATTTATGCTTCTTGGAGTGTTTTTCATAAATATCTTTTGAAGATATTTTATTTCGGGAGTTTTTAAGAAAATATCTTTTGGAAGATATTTTCATTCTAGACAATTTTGCAGTTATCCTTTCTTGGAGGGGTCATTATGCAATTAATGAAAATTATTGCAAAATGCCTCATTTTGAGTCTGGATCCTCGTACGGGATTCATTTTCACTTTTCGTCGAGTCGCGTACTCTTAGAATTGTCTTCTGGTCGTTTTTCCCAATTTTAGGGTTCTGAGCCCAGTTGCCGCCGAACTTGCTCGGGGGCATATCTTTGTGCACGGAATTCAATTTTCGACGTTGTTTCTTCCATTGTTCATTTTTTTTCATTTTAATTCTTTTTTGTTCACGGTGTTTTACCGTTTGAGAGCGTCTGCGCAAATTCCACTTTTTCAGACCCGACAAGACCCGTTCATGGCACTTTTTGGGATTTTTTATAAATAGGGGGTTTGGAAAATTAAAACATTTCATTCTTCTTCTTCTCACATTACTGCAAATCAGATTCTTAGCCCAAAGGGGGCTGCCACCCTTCTTCTCTCAAATCAACCATCTTCCCTCTTGAATTTTGCCGTGATGCCTTAATGTTTATCGTAGGCCTTGGCGAGGCGGTCTTTTCCCCCTTATTATAATCCATTTTCGATCATTTTTTAGTTCAAAATTTGAGTTCGGGTTTGAATTTTGGTGGTGTGTGATACCCCTGATTTCGAAACACGGGTTGATGAAGTCCGCGCACAAAATTAGGGAAATAGCAAAACAATTAAAGTATTTAAACAAGTACAGAATACAAAGATGAATAATAAAGAATAAATAAACCGCTGAAGAAAACCTATAAATAAATATTAATTAATAATTCTCCAACAATTACAACTCGGGAATCCTGTAACTTAAGGACCCCTTTAAACATTATCCAATAATCCAATACTACTTAAAAGTACACAAGATGAATAGATGAATGACAGTTTCCAAGCTGCGAACCCTCAACCTCGAGACTGAGACCTCTAATAACCTGAAAAATAAATCGTGGGTTAAACCATACAAGCAAGTTCTCTCTACCAGACTTCTGAAAACCAATAAGTAGATCATCTCTGATCAAAACCAAACCTAATAAAGTTTTAAGTTTAATAAACAATGATATGCATATGTATAAATAATTATATACAATATAACCTTCACATCCATTAATAGTTTCATTAATTTTCAAAACCATTAATCCATAATTAAAACATAATCATACCTAAACCCCCCTTTAACCTTAACTCCATTTTAAATAATTATTTAATCATTTAAATAATAAAATATAACTCAAGGAAAATTATATTTAATCCAAAAGCCAATAATGAATTTAATTATTTAAACCATACAGTCAATACCTAGGCTTTGACAGATTATCCATATCTCTACCAATATTATTTTATTAATATATATAAAATAATACACTAACATGTAACTACTCGATTATTCTAATTTAAGAATATTTAATCATAATCCGACTTATACATACAGTATCCATAAATGAGTTTTAATCATCTAATACACATAGCAATTTAATTATGCTTTAGCAATTCAACTATGTCATTATAAATATATTTATTTATATATTGGAAAATCAATCATGCCTCCTTAAATATATTTATTTATACATTGGCAAATCAACCATACCATTAAAAATATATTTATTTATATATTGACACCTCAACCGTGCCTCCTTAAGTATATATTTATTTATACATTGGCAAATCAACCATGACTCCTTAAATATATATATACCTTTAAATTAGCAACTCATCCATTACTTCCTATGTATGTATTTTATTCAAACAAATACTTAGGCGCTATATTTAAGTATTTAACAACTCATCCATGCCTACAATTCAATCATGTACCAATTTTAAACTTAACGATGAACTAAATCACACATAGACATCGCATGCATATCATACGCATAACATTAATTTAAAAATCAACCTATCCAGATGTACCGATTAAATAAGAATAACTAATATTAATTACCTTAAATAATATATACATATATTATATAATATATATGTGTGTATAATACCTTCCATAATATATATATATATATATATACATTTCTTTCCGTAACAAATCATTAATTTATTATATTTACGCAAATAAATGCTACTAATCCTCGTAGTAACACTCTATGGCTCTCAGGACACCATGAACACCTCCTCTAATGGTTGTTTTCAACCATAACAGGTTTAAAACCAATTATAGAAATTCACCAGACCTCACAGGACCTTTCCAGGACTCCAAGCACCTCATCACGTGCCCCACACGCCACCAAACGCGCCCAAAGCTTCTGCACGCGCCTCTACGCGCCACCACAAGCAGCCACGTGGCTTCACGTGCGTACACGCACTCTCACGCGCTGCCTACGCGTCTAATTACTCCTCTGGATGACATAGCATCCTCTGTTTGGTTGGTACTCCATGTATTTGTTGAACTGCACCGCACCGGATCATTCTTATATTGACTAGACCCTATCTACGGTCCAGATGCATGCGCGTACCATGTCTCCATGCGCTGCGATGCACTGGATCATCCGTCCTTCATCATCACATCTCAGCCGCTGAATTCGCATGTGCACCGTAATAAAATGTGTCATGCCGCACTGGATTGCCCCTTTGATCATCAAACCCATCCACCCCTCTGTAATACGCACACATCACATGCAGTGATATGTATCGCACCGTACCGAATCATACCCTATTTTGCGTGCGCCGATTACTAAACCCTACAATGGCGTTTATATATACAGTATATGTATTATATTTATACACGTAAATAATTGTATATATAATTCTAAAAATATCAAAAAAATATAAAACAAATTTAGAAAATTTTCAAAAATTCTATAAATCTTAAATAATCTTATTGGATCACATATCAAACATAATAGTTGATTATACATATATATACAACTTATATATATAATTAAAATCTAACAATTTCAAAATAATATAATAATAAATCATGCGTT